GGGCCGGGGGGCATCTCTCTCCTATGACCCAGGTCCACTTGGGGCCACTCTCCCAAGAGCTCAGCTCCCCTTGGGACACCGTACATCTGTGTGCGCGAAGCCTCTGGGCCACAGGAGCCATGCGAAAGGCGCCTGTGCCCTGGCCCTCGAGCTCCAGCCAGTGATTTCAGTGGGGGAATTTTGGATATAGTGGGGCTGGCAGGCTGGGAAGGGGGATCTCCGGCTGGGTGGGGGGATGCACCAGCACATGTTGTGTGTGCGCGTTCCCTGTGTGGATGCATGGTGTGTTTGTACGTTCTGTGTGTGTGTGCATTCCCTGATTGTGTGTGCATTCCTTGGGTGAAGTCCTGGCCCCGCTGAGCTCCGCGACCAAGCCCCTTCCTCTCGCTGTGTTGGGAGAGGAGGGTTTCTTGCTGATGTTAAAATTAGTAAAACTCCAGTGGGTGGAAAAGGGGTGTGTGGGAGAGACCAAAAATGCCTGCACTCAAATCGAACGTGCAGCATGTCTAAGGGTCCTGGGCTGGGGGTGAGGGGGTGGGACTGAGCTGGGGGAACACGGGAGCAAAGGCCACTAGGCTGGGAGTGGGGACGGGGAGACCAGGCAGTCAGGGGGGCTGGAACCCTGTATATAGTGGGGTGGCTGAGAGCCACTGAACCAAACTGTAAACCCTGCATACGATGGAATGCACTTCAAGCCAGGGGGTGTGGCAGCGCCCCTGCTTCCAGCACCTATGTAGGCGATGGGATGGGAGGGGTGCTGGCCTGTCCCAGCCCCGCCCCCTCTCTGCAAAGCCCTCCAGCTCCCTTACAAAATAAGCCTGGAAGCGAATTCTCCAGTGGCTCCCACATCAGCTCAGCCTCGGCGGGAGGAAAGAGCTCAGCCATGGGCAGTGAGTATCATAGGCCAGGGGAGGCTGCGGCTGCTGGACGCCCAGTTGCTGGGTTTGGCGGCAAAGCTTTTGCTTTATTATGCCCCATGCAGGTTCCAGGGTGGCTGAGGAGGCACATACAGTACAGTACCGCCTCCTCAGCCACCCCGGAACCTGTGTGGGTGGAGCAGACCCAGCCCGGAGGGGACTGTCCCCGGGGATCCTGCCCTTGCAGACCCCATGTGGCTAGCCCTTCCTGGGGTGAGCAGGGCTGGGGAACTCCCTGGGACCGCTGGCAGCAAGGCAGGGCTGCAGGACTGGGCCCAGGCTCTGCTGCTGCTGGATGGTAGAGCCGAGGGCGGAGGGAGCTCCCCGTGCGCTATGCACACCGAGTTCCCCCTTGGCTTGTTGGGAATGCAAGCAGCGGGGTGCAGCCACTAGGGGGCGATCACTGTCAGGCTGATCAGGGGGGACATGCCAGTCCCAGCTGGGGGAAAGGTCTGCTCGCGGGAGGGGATGCAGGGTCGGTGACTGTGTGTATGGGGGGCTCCCAGGTGAGGGATGAGGCAGCGGGGTCATTTCAGGGGGGTGGTGGGCCTGGATCGCACCTATCCCCCCCTTCACCCAGCTCAGGCATGTGCCACCCCCCGCTGAGCGGGCCCTGGATTTGAATAGCCCAGACCTGGGAGTGTTCGGACCCGGGGGTTTGGTTCAGCTTGTTACGGAGCCAGGAGCCGCTTGCCAACCTTGACTCTGGATCTGGTCCCAAAGCTGGGCCGGGCAGGAGCAAGGGGGAGAGCAGGTGTTTCCAGCCAGTCTCTGAAAACTAACCATCGCATCTGTATGTGTCACGGGTCAGAGCAGCCTTGCCCTCCCTTTCGTCCTCAGCTCCTGCTCCAGCGGGGCTCTGCTCGGCTGCAGAGGGAAGGTGGGATTCCACGCTGGAGAGGGAGACTCGGCCACGAACGAGTGCCGGGCTCTCTGGGAATGATTCAATCTAGTGTTCTCCCTGGCCGTTGGAGGGAGACAGCATGGTCTGATGGGCTGGGCACCAGGACTCCTGAGTCCTTTTCCTAACCACTGTGTGACCATGGGCACAGATAGATGGGGTCCCTCTTGTGGCACACCCAGCTAGCAGGGGGCTGTCTCCCGGACGATGCTTTGGGGTCCTGGCTGGCTCCTGGCAGTGGGGCTGGGTTATTGTGTGTTCCCTGCCATTTGGGTGGGGGGTGGCGCTGTGATAGGTGAGCTCAGCGCTCTGCAGACTGGCCCAGGGAGCACCTCAGACGTGCTGGGGTGTTGAAGTTGAACCGGTATCACTACTGGAACCGGGAATCTGTCCCCTCTGTAAAGTGAATCCCCTCCAACCATGCCCAGTCCTGGGGTCTTCAGACCTGCTGAGCAGAGGGAGGTGGAGCTGAATTGGAGTTCACCACACAGAGGTGCTGCGGCAGGTAGGGTTACCATATTTCAACAATCAAAAAAGAGGACGGGAGGAGCCCCACCCCCGTCCTGCCCTAGCCCCGCCCCTGCCCCTTCCACTCCCTCCCACTTCCCGCCCTCCTCAGAACCCCCAACCCCCCCCCCCACTCCTTCTCCCCTGACTGCCCCCTCCTGGGACCCCTGCCCCTAACTGCCCCCC